ATATATATATATATATATATATATATATATATATATATATATATATATATATATATATATATATATATATATATATATATATATATATATATATATATATATATATATATATATATATATATATATATATATATATATGCCACCGCCTTTATTAGTTGCAGCAAGGCTGGATACATCGCCGGCTCCAAAACTACGAAATTTACCGCGTGGGTCAAGAACAATATGCAAGTTCTTGGCTTCATGCTCACCCCTTCACGCTGGCATATAGACTCTCAGAGCGCTATTAAAATAGCTTTCGGCACCAGCACCCAAGGAACTTAAGCACATCGATCGTTCTATCTGTGATAGCGCCCCTCGACTATATCCCCATGTTAAACCATATAGAACAAAGAATAAAGTAACTTTTCTATCAAGGCTTATATATTCTGTATACATTGTGAAAGGCTCACACGTAGGTGTATAGCACTGCCTTATCATATGGCGTTGATTGTCATAAATATATTGACATTCTGACATCTGTCAGCTCTTGTGTACTTTGCTCAGTACCGAACTGCTATTGTATGTGAGATATTGATGAAGTAGTGATTTTAGCCTAACACTCCTAAAACTAGTAGTGTGCATATATTATTGCGGATACAATCTGCAGTTCATTGTAGTGTAGTGTGCTCCTCCCCATTATTGTTTCCGTGAATAGCATGGGTTTATCAAGGGACGGCAGAGAGCATGTTACTGGTGTGGCGGGAATGTGTGGGACGCGCTGTGGTCTTCGTGGGTATGTCAGCAAGGTTGTCTTGCAAAAGTACGCATTATGTTCGGATAACACCTTGGGACTGAAGGTCGCGAATATGATAATGCGAATGTCCAGATGTTTGAAGTGTTCGTTAGTGCTGGTGTCGGCAATGACGTGAATGGCTGACAGATTATCACAGCAGAGCGGTGTAGGCGCGGATTCTGTGAAGCATATCTCGGATAATAGATTGCGTGACCATTGAATTTGTATGCCCGCTTCAGACGCAGCGTAATATTCGGCTTCCGCAGTGTTTGTCGTGACGGTTTTCTGACGTTTCGACTTCAAGATGACAGGGACGCCGTTGATACGGAGGACGTATCCGCTCGTAGAACGATGAGTATCTCGACATGCATTATTATCGGCGTTGACGAAAGCATCGACGACTGTGGCACCGGGCTGATAACGAAATGTGAGGCCAAGAGCGGGCATACCTCTGATATAACGCAAGGTGCGCTGGGCAGCTGTCTAATGGGTGAGTAAGTGATTGGTCATGTAGCGGGCGAGATTGTTTAGTGGAAAGCTGATGTCGATACGTGTGAGTACCAACAGATATTGAAGGGTTCCAATTAACTCACGGTACCGGCAGTTAAAGCGGGAACCATCATTGAGGCTGACTGGATCAGAAGTTGCAGGTATAGCGCGACATGAGCATCGGGGAGGTTAAAAGTGGCGAGTGCGTCGGTGATATAGTTGTCTTGGACGAGATAAGGACGCGAACGTCAAGTAGCCAGTGAGGCCGGCCGAGATCCTTACAGCTGAATTCGTGCGTGATGAGCTGTTTGGAGTGATCAATATCAGAATCAGTTTCACCACAGATGATGTTGTCATTGACATACAGTAGAAGAACGCGCGAGAAGTCGGGGTAATTAATGGTGAATATACACGGGTCCGCAAAGCTTTGGGTGAAGCCCATGGTGAGAAGTTTAGACTTGATAAGGGCATGCCAGAAGCATGCCAGAAGCAGCCTGACTGTTCAAGGCCACAGAGACACTTTTG